CAGTTGTTTGCACCAATATTCTTCAAAAAGTTAAAAAAATCTAACCTCTAAAAAGCTAATATATTGTTGCTTCGGATTTAATTGATGTACCTATACATTGGTGATCAAGATGGATCGCATATATGCTCGATTAAAATCCTATTTGCTAAAAGCGATATTCCAATTTTGATCATCATCCCTTGGTATATAATACTAGCTACTATTTTCCAACTTTATTCCCAAACTTTTAAGCTCTATAAAGATGAAGGTTTCATTTTCTTTACAAAATTACAAATTCATATTATATGATAAATGAAACTGTTGCTATTGCCAGTGAAATTTCAGTTGAGTGATAAGAAGCAAAATTGTGGAGCCAAAAACCTAGCCCAAGAGTGGAAAGAAACTTAATTCCTTGGTATACGATTGTTGATGGGTGGCTTCTGACGAGGCTTTTCGAATCCTTTGTAATCCTTATGTATCAAGTTTATAATCTCTTTAGCTGCCTCCACAACCCCTTTTGATTCAACTCTTTTTTCTTCGCTCCCTGCACTTGAACACTGCCTCTTCATGCTCCCTTTTGCCTTGGACTCTTCAACATGTACGCATTAAGAGAATATATTAATATGTGATACCATAATCGAGAGAAAATAATCAGTTCAATATCCAACTCGATTCTAGATATAATCGGTATCCAATGTGATCTACCAACACATGGGGTGTTAGCCAAAAGAAACTTGAGAAAGAGAGTAATCGAACCTGATTATTTGATTGATCTTGAAATTTTGCATTGGACATAACTTCAGCATCTTTATTCCCCCATGCATTCAATACACAATATTCAAAATGAATGCTACTGCTGAATTTGACATTATATTCAGTTTCAATCACGCAATTTACAATGTGAAGATTTCGTCTAAACCAGACGCATTTCAAGCATCAAAATTTTCCATTACATACAAGTCAGATATTCACACAATCTTAAGCCGAAAAGGGATCTAAGAGGTGGGGGTTGGTTTGATTCAGTGCTGCATCTATCTGCATACGCCTTAAAATTTGACTCAGTTATGCTTGGGAGAGTGACGTTTCGGGGCACCATAATCAGCACCGAAAGCTAAAAATTCATCTGTTTCAGAGCCGTAATTTGCACCTGAATTCTTTGAGTCCACACAGTCTCCATTCTCTTTTCTCGACACTGCTGCTTCACGGCTTCCCATCTTCCTTCCTCCAAAACCATCAATAAATTCCTATATAGAAATACAAGATTATCACATGAGCTACTATTTTCTAACTTTATTCCCAAACTTTTAAGCTCTATAAAGATGAAGGTTTCATTTTCTTTACAAAATTACAAATTCATATTATATGATAAATGAAACTGTTGCTATTGCCAGTGAAATTTCAGTTGAGTGATAAGAAGCAAAATTGTGGAGCCAAAAACCTAGCCCAAGAGTGGAAAGAAACTTAATTCCTTGGTATACGATTGTTGATGGGTGGCTTCTGACGAGGTTTTTCGAATCCTTTGTAATCCTTATGTATCAAGTTTATAATCTCTTTAGCTGCCTCCACAACCCCTTTTGATTCAACTCTTTTTTCTTCGCTCCCTGTACTTGAACACTGCCTCTTCATGCTCCCTTTTGCCTTGGACTCTTCAACATGTACGCATTAAGAGAATATATTAATATGTGATACCATAATCGAGAGAAAATAATCAGTTCAATATCCAACTCGATTCTAGATATAATCGGTATCCAATGTGATCTACCAACACATGGGGTGTTAGCCAAAAGAAACTTGAGAAAGAGTAATCAAACCTGATTATTTGATTGATCTTGAAATTTTGCATTGGACATAACTTCAGCATCTTTATTCCCCCATGCATTCAATACACAATATCCAAAATGAATGCTACTGCTGAATTTGACATTATATTCAGTTTCAATCATACAGTTTACAATGTGAAGATTTCGTCTAAACCAGAAGCATTTCAAGCATCAAAATTTTCCATTACATACATGTCAGATATTCACACAATCTTAAGCCGAAAAAAGGATCTAAGAGGTGGGGGTTGGTTTGATTCAGTGCTGCATCTATCTGCATACGCCTTAAAATTTGACTCAGTTATGCTTGGGAGAGTGACGTTTTGGGGCACCATAATCAACACCGAAAGCTAAAAATTCATCTGTTTCAGAGCCGTAATTTGCACCTGAATTCTTTGAGTCCACACAGTCTCCATTCTCTTTTCTCGACACTGCTGCTTCACGGCTTCCCATCTTCCTTCCTCCAAAACCATCAATAAATTCCTGTATAGAAATACAAGATTATCACATGAGCTACTATTTTCTAACTTTATTCCCAAACTTTTAAGCTCTATAAAGATGAAGGTTTCATTTTCTTTACAAAATTACAAATTCATATTATATGATAAATGAAACTGTTGCTATTGCCAGTGAAATTTCAGTTGAGTGATAAGAAGCAAAATTGTGGAGCCAAAAACCTAGCCCAAGAGTGGAAAGAAACTTAATTCCTTGGTATACGATTGTTGATGGGTGGCTTCTGACGAGGTTTTTCGAATCCTTTGTAATCCTTATGTATCAAGTTTATAATCTCTTTAGCTGCCTCCACAACCCCTTTTGATTCAACTCTTTTTTTCTTCGCTCCCTGCACTTGAACACTGCCTCTTAATGCTCCCTTTTGCCTTGGACTCTTCAACATGTACGCATTAAGAGAATATATTAATATGTGATACCATAATCGAGAGAAAATAATCAGTTCAATATCCAACTCGATTCTAGATATAATCGGTATCCAATGTGATCTACCAACACATGGGGTGTTAGCCAAAAGAAACTTGAGAAAGAGAGTAATCGAACCTGATTATTTGATTGATCTTGAAATTTTGCATTGGACATAACTTCAGCATCTTTATTCCCCCTGCATTCAATACACAATATCCAAAATGAATGCTACTGCTGAATTTGACATTATATTCAGTTTCAATCACGCAGTTTACAATGTGAAGATTTCGTCTAAACCAGAAGCATTTCAAGCATCAAAATTTTCCATTACATACAAGTCAGATATTCACACAATCTTAAGCCGAAAAGGGATCTAAGAGGTGGGGGTTGGTTTGATTCAGTGCTGCATCTATCTGCATACGCCTTAAAATTTGACTCAGTTATGCTTGGGAGAGTGACGTTTTGGGGCACCATAATCAACACCGAAAGCTAAAAATTCATCTGTTTCAGAGCCGTAATTTGCACCTGAATTCTTTGAGTCCACACAGTCTCCATTCTCTTTTCTCGACACTGCTGCTTCACGGCTTCCCATCTTCCTTCCTCCAAAACCATCAACAAATTCCTGTATAGAAATACAAGATTATCACATGAGCTACCAAATATTAACAAACATACATAATCTGTTTCAATACAAAAGAGTTCATACATATTACAAATATTGAGATTTTAATTCTTATACGTTTAATGCCACATTATTGCATGACTTACCCACCTTTTGAACAGATACAAGAGATTCTTCACTGGCCATATGCCTTCCTCCAATTGTTTCCATACCTGCAAAGACAATTGGAACAACACATAGTCTCAACCTAGAGTAATCTAATCCATTATGTTTCAGTAAATTAGTGGGGAAAAAGGACTTCTAAATACTAACCTTGATGAGGATGCACTGAGCAGTTCTTGAGGGCATACAAAACAAAGAAAAGCCCAAGTACTAACTCTGCGAACCTTACATGCAGCATCTTTGTTGATTCTTCCTTTGGCTGAGAATGTTTTTTTCGCTTCAGCAACTGATAAAAGAGAGGAAATCTGGAAGAAGAAAAAAACAAGGGAAGGATTGTTTTCGATAGAGAGTTCCAAAGTTTAAAACCCGAGTCAAAGCTAGGGTTTGGACAGCTGCTTAATTAAAAATATTGCTTCTGTGATAAATACAGAGCTTAGGAAAGCTCACCAATAAAAAAATAGAAATACATCAGCTAATGTCCAATTTAAAATTAATGAAAACAGATCAATATTCTTTTCTTCAAAAGTTTGAATGTGGTTTCCAGAGTTACCGTCTTGTATTTGGATTGGAAATGTTGATTTTGTCCCTTCTTGCCTTCATGCATGTAACATGTTAATTATTCTAATATAAAATTTTTATTAAATTTTGTCTGTGTCGGTGGTATTTCTAGAAATATTCTTTAAGCTATACGATTTTTGTTGAAGAATATTAAACATTCTGAAAATACATCTATTACACTAAAGAATTTATTAAACTATAGAGAATATCGATGACATTATCTCATTTAATTTTTTTTTTTGGAAAAATAAAAAGATTAGAATACCTATCACCGTTTTATTCATGTTTGTGAAAAACAACTTTTATTGTTGTGCGCCTGATAATAATATGTTAAATTTAAATTTATTGATATTATAATAATAATTTTTAGTTAAAACTATTTTTCCTTTTATAATTATAACTTTCATTGTCATGTTTTTCAGTTGAATTTTTATTTATCCAAAATTAAAACAAAATTAGAGGGGGCAATTAAAAGAATATTTAAAGAAGTAAAATGTTTTTATAAATTATTTATTAAAATTAAAATTAAAAAATTCACTTAAAATAATATTTTCCCTTGCATTCCATAATTCAAAACCAAAAACATGGTTAAAATTATATTATTCATTTATTTTATTAACTTTAACTATTCAAATAAATATTGTAATAATTTATTTTTTAACCTTCCAATCTTTTTACTTTACTTTCTTTTCTTTCCTCGTCCTTTATCAATATTAGATTTTATCGTACGCACGCAATAAAAAAATATTTATTATAAAAATAGAAAATTATTATTTATTTAATAATAATTCTTTTGTTTTTTGTGTGGATAATTCTGATTTATTACCCAAGAAAGCAGAAGGCTGCTACAACATACAGAGTACAATAAACAACAGATATATAAGCCAAACACATGTAGGCATGGCTACTAAACCCAGCAGAAACAATAGGAAAGAAACACGCAGCTAAGCAATATCCCAACGAGCACAAAGAGCAGCATTACACTCGTCAGATCTACAAATGGTACTTCTCTCCAACCGAATCTGAATAACAGCTTTGATATCCTGCAGCAGCGCATCCACTGATCGAGCACTACCTCCATAGAGCCTGCAATTCCTTTCCTTCCAAATGCTATAAACATGACCCGCCCAAGCAAGTCGGAACACTCTCGCAATGAGAGACTTGCCCTTGAAACAATAGGTCGCCCAAGCTAATTCACCTTCCCAGCTACAAGCCCCTCGATACACACCACATAAAGCGAGTATTGCCCCCATAGGTCCTTTGCAAAATTGCAGCCAAAGAACAGATGGTCTCTACACTCAGGCTCAATACCACACATAAGACATTTAACATCCACGATACTTAGGCCCATTCTTAAAAGTCGAACCCGAGTAGGGAGACGATCAAGAATGGCCATCCACACAATGATGATGTGTTTAGGAATACGCCCAGGAAACCACACTAGATGCTGCCAAGAAACTTTGGGAAAGATGATACGCAAGTTATCACGAATGCTTCTTACACTCAGATTGTGAATCGGGCCAGTAAAGAGGTGAAGAACACTTGGTCTTACTCTCAATATATATCTGAACGACCAACTAACATTTGTGGGAATGCTCATCTGCCAGAAATCTGCACTCCCAATCACATAGGCATGTATCCAGGCCACCCAAAGAGAGCCCTTATTAGCCAAAAGTTTCTTGATAAGAAAAACGGCGCGAGCTTTATTCCATTCCCCCATAGCTTGAACCCCCAATCCTCCTTCAGCTTTGGCAGCACAGATCTTCTTCCAACTGACACGAACGCCTTTAGCAGGCACGTTGGATCCTTTCCAGAAGAATCTGGAGCATAATTGCTCGATGGAAAGAATAACCTTCTTGGGCAGAATGAGCTGCCTACACCAGAAACTTGCCATGCTGAAAAGAACAGCTCTGATAAGTTGGATTCTCCCAGTAAAGATAAGGTGTTTGTTGGCCCACGAGTTCAACTTTGCCCGAATCTTGTCGATTAAACTACGACATTCTTTCACTGAGAGCTTCCTGGTAACCAATGGAACACCCAGATAACGAACTGGGAGGCTGCCCAGCTTAAATCCTGTCAAATCCTGAATGGCAACGATTGGTCTATACGAACACCAGCATGGAACATTTCACATTTACTAGCTTTAAGTTTTAACCCAGACATGGAATAGAAAAGCTCTAGAACAACGTGAACACCAATTACAGACTCAAGAGAACCTTTACAGAATATAAGCAAATCATCTGCGAAGCAAAGGTGAGTGAGGCCGACTTTCCTGCATTTAGGATGGAAGTTGAACACTCTCTTCTCAGCAGCTAAATTAAGGAGGCTAGATAATACATTCATAGCTAAGACAAAAACGTAGGGTGAAAGGGGATCACCCTTTCGGACACCCCGAGCACCTTTGAAGTAGCCTACCAAAGTACCATTGAACACAATAGAATAACTAGGATTGGAAATACAAGCCCAGATCCAAACCAATGAACTTCTCGGGTAAACCAAGTGCATGCAAAACAACTTTCACAAAATCCCAGCTTAAAGAGTCGAAAGCCTTTTGTAGATCAATCTTAAGAGCACATCTCGGAGAAGCTTTCTTTCTAGAGTAACCCCTAACAAGTTCTTGCACAAGTAATGTATTATCAATTATGCTTCTTCCTTTCACAAAGGCAGATTGATTCAATGCAATCATACTAGGAAAAACAGCAGACAACCGATTCACTAAGATTCTAGTTGCAGTCTTATAAATGACAGAACAGCAAGATATAGGCCTATAGTCCTTAACCAGACTCGGATTAGGGACTTTAGGAACAAGCACAACAACTGTGGCATTGAAGGAAGGGAGCATGAAAGAGGAAGTGAAGAAATACCTGATAGCTGCCAAGAAATCATTTCCAACAATATGCCAGGTTTTTTTGAATAAGAACGAGTTATAACCGTCAGGGCCAGGGGATTTATTATTGCATTGACCCCAAATAGCATCCTTGATCTCCACATCAGAGACCTCTCTAGTTAATGCCTCGGCAGCACCCTCAGGTAGAGAATAGCCAAGCAACTCTCTGATATTGTTGACATTACAACAATTGACCTCCGGATCAACCACCCCCAATTACTTTCGAAAGAAATTTATAGCCTCTCTGGACATATCCTCAAAGGAGTTGAGTCTAACACCATATTGGCTATAAAAGACCCTAATGGTGTTGTTCATCCTTTTGCTAGCAACCATGGAGTAGAAAAATTGAGTACTTTGGTCCCCCTCTCTAATCCAGTCTGCCTTTGCTTTCTGTTTGTAGAAGAGAAGCTCCATCTGCTTAAAGGCTTTCAACTCCTCCTCAATCTTCAGCTCATCTATAACGAGATTGCCAACAATAGTAGCATCTAGATTTGCAAGCTGGATGGACCTCAACTCTTCCCCTCTTCCTCAGAACTTGCCCGGAAATGTCAAGGAGAGAAGCTCTATTAAGGTCCTTGAGGCATTTCTTTAATTTTTTTAACTTCAAGAAAAGGACCTGGGTTGGATTTCTAGTAGCTGGGGCCTGCCACGAATCCCTAACAATGGACAAAAAACTAGGGTGCATAACCCAGAAGTTAAATAACTTAAAGGGCTTTGGCATAGCGATAGCAGCTTCATTATGCAACCAGACAAAAGCAGGACAATGGTCTGACTCCCCAGGAGCTTGAAATTCCACCTCAGATGATGGAAATGTCTCGGCCCAGCTATGATTAACAAGGACACGATCAAGTTTGCGAGCAAGGAAAGAGCCCTGCTGCTTATTGGACCACGTGAACAGAGGGCCTATGAAAAGATGATCAAAAACCCCAATGTCCTCAACACACATTTGAAACTCAGCTACATCACTATTGGCATACAAACTAATAGGGTTAGAGCTTTCTTCGTCCTTTAAGACAACATTGAAATCGCCCCCAATCAGCCAGGCTACATTTCCCACCAATCTGTCCATACTGACAAGCTGAGCCCAAAGATGCCTGCGAGCAACACCATTGTTAGAGCCATAAACCGCAGAAATGAAAAAAGGCTTATCATTGTAACTTCCTTTGAGAGTAATGCATTGCTCAAAGATGGAACAAATAGAGCAGTCCAGATTTTCCTGCCATAAAATCCAAATTCGACCATTCTCAGCATGGCCATAATTGCAACAAAAATTCCAACCCTGGAACTTTTTAGACAAGATCCCCCCCGCATTTATCTCCTTAACCCTCGTTTCCAAGAGACAAAAAATATTAATATGAAGCCTGGAAGCCCACTTCAGCGCAATGCTCTGCTTTAGGGGATTGTTGAATCCCCTAACATTCCAGAAACAGACTAACATGACAAAGTTGTAGAGGAGGAGGGACCACCCCGATCCTCAACAATTTTAACCTTCTCCAACTGGTCCTTCTTTTTAAGCTTCATATCTTGCACAACTTTTGCAAGTCCCAAAGCAGCCCCTCTCTGCTTCTTACCAGAGTCAACAAGAGGGACGCCAACCAAACTGTTAGGGTCAATCGAACTAAGAACATCAAATTTATTCTTGGACCCTCCACCCCCAGCTTTATCTTTGGCAGGCCTGCCTCTACCTCTCTTCACATGAGGGTCAATGACTAGAGCATGATGCTCAATCTGCTTTGAACTTTGATCAGCTAGTGCCTCATCATTAGGAGCTAAAGTAGTAACTTAAATTTCCAGTAAGAGTCTCATTTGGCACTACACTAGCAATTAGATCCCTATTACGAGCCCCATCAACCTCTAAAATAGCATCAGCAGCAGAAGTCAGATTAGTAGAATTTCCAATCGGGTCTGTCTTAATACTAGAGAAATCAGGTGGTCCATTGACTGAGAGAAGATTCAAGCAAACTGGAGCAGCCAAACTACCTCCCTTAGAACTCACCACAGAGGTAGATTCAACACCCTGAGATGAGTCCTTTACCCTCCAAACCTGTTCAACTTTCTTCCCTTGAGTGCAGAACTTTGCCAAATGACCAAATCGATGACAGTCTGCACAATAGTTAGCCATCCAATGCACAGAGACTCTAACCTTAGCTATTGAATCATCACATAACATCACATTTATAAAATCTGGGATCTGCGAACCAGCCGAGATTTCAACACAAACTCGTGCATATTCCAATCTCTCTATGCTAGCCGTGATCGAATCTATGTGGAGTGGTTTCCCAATTGCACTAGCTACATAGCTTAGCCCTTTCTTCGAAAATAACTCCAATTGCACGTTATACAGATGGATCCAAACAGGCATACAATGTAAATCAAAGCTCAATTCCTTCAAATTAGGTTCCCACTTCCTAAGACAAATTGATTTATGTTGAACATGCCATGAACCGTTCTCTAAAACCCAGTCCCTAGCCAAAGAACTAACAAATGAGAAGACAAAAAGATTTGGTCCAGCTAAACTTACTTTCACCGGAGATTGTTTTCCCCATAGCAGACCCACAGTCTTCTGAAGAGAAGTGAAGCTCGGCGCTGAACCGATGAATTGGCCAACCAGGGCGTTTCTCCACTCCAAAATACCCTCCTCAAACACAAATCGAGGAGGTTTAACTACACAGGAACCCTCGGTCGTCGAAGGAGGGAAGAAGTTCAGTTCTTGTTCATTCCCTGCCGAGAAGAGTTTTCTCTAATCCGAAACACCTTCAATCGCCATAACCTAGCAAAAACCCCAAGAAAGAATCCGAAATTGCAGAAGAAAGCAAGAATCAAAGCAAATCGAAGAAGATGGCCCGTCTTCAATCGCTATTAGCCCAGCTAATAATTCTTGGTTGACTGATAAAAAAATTAATTTATAAATCATTTTAAATATGAGTTCAATCTTTAAGTTAATAATTTTTTTTTTTTCATTTAAAATTATATAAAATATAAAAAAAGTATCATTAAAGTAATTATATAATAAAAATATTTTTGTAATTTTAAATTAAATTTACATTAGTAATCAAATCAGTCGGAAACTTAATATATATATATATATATATTATACATATAGAATTTTAAAATAGTATAATTAATCAATATCATATTTGTTTATCAGGATTCGGCGCGTGATACATTCTAATGGTCCACACGTGTTCCATTTTCTTCTATATGCCAGGTGTCGAGTATAAGAGTCTAACACGTGTACAGCTGAAAAAGAACCATATACTGTCTTCCACAAACATAATCTCTCTCCTCCAACTCTCAAAGCTAACTCCGATTTCCGTTGTTTATCCAAAAGCTCTTCCCGGTAAGTTCTCGATTGCTTAATTTGTATTTTTCTCTTTTCATTTTTTATTAACTTTTGCTAAACTTGACATTTTAATTATCCAAGTGCTTATTAATGCTATCGCTTTAACTTTAGTTATTAATTTTGATAATCAATTAATTGTTTGTTTTCAACATGTTTGAATAAACGCCAATATGGGAGAATTGAAATTTGAAAGCTATTAAAAGAGCTGTTTATTTTCCATTGTTCTTTGAAGCAAATTAGGGAGTGGAAGATTTGGATTGATGGGTAGAACTCCATTGGATACTATTATACTCTAAGGTACTCATCTGATGCTTTAAATACTGTTAGATGCCAAGAATTATGTAAGAAGAATACGGGATCTGAGTCGATGAAACATAGAGGTAGAGCAGGGATGGCTACTATGCTGGCAGACAATGCTTGAGTATAATTTCGTTTCTTCCGTTTGTTTAACTAATGTAATGTTAGAAAATTTAGTTATTGGAGGATTTTATTGTTTTGATTTAAGGAAGGGGATTTGAGTATAGGGATGCGTGCATCAAACACTGAGAAATTTGTTAGGTGTGATAAGTCTATAGTTTAGAAAATGGAAAGGAAATATCATTTCTTTTGTTAATTCTTTTTTAAAGGAACCCCAAAATCATTAGATTTTAATCCAAGTGGATAGGGTTACAAGAACAACTGATGAGCATCTGGTCCTGAACTTCATTTTAGTTTTGCAGGTATCCATATATTCTGTGTGCAAGCATTTGCATACCCGTGACTAGAGAGGCTTGTATTGTACGGTAGTTTTGATTTATGTTGGATGCATCGGTTTCTCGTTTTCTTTTTCATTTATGCATATAATACCTCTGTTTTACTCACTTTGAGCATAAGGGTCTCCAATTCATGATTCAATCCAGTTTTCATGTTTAAATGTTTGAGGTTTAGTCAATGTCAGTAGTAGAATTCTTGATCTATTTTATATTCTCTAATCAAATGGTTCATATCTATTGCAGCACTAAAAGAAATGCTACTGTTATTAGCACTCTATTATGGCATCTCATGTTATCTTAACGGGATATATACTTTAGGTGGAGGAAAGTGAATGTAGCTCTGTCATTTGGCAGCTGTTGATCTGGCCCAAGTTCTTATTTTTTATGTCATATTTTGAGATATATTTCTGAACTAAAAGCCTGATGTACTTGTGGCGACAATTCTTACTTTACTTTTAATGATAACTTCTACTTCTAAGGTTTGTATTTGGTCACTTTCTCTCAGGAAAATCCTTTGGAATGGAGATTGCTACTGCAAGGTAGGCTTTCGTGACTATTATATTAGCATAGCAGTAAGGATAAATGCTTTGTCACAAAGTTACTCTGCAAATTTAGCTGACATCTTCTCAGTTATAGATGGTACTGTTGGTGCTATGCTTTTCATGCGACAGTAACAGCAGTTTTGCATATTGTCTCTGATTTCTGAACTACCCAGGGGTTTTGTGTCCTTCATTTTATTCAGAACTGTTATGTAATAATCTGTAGAACGGAGAAACAATATTACTACTTCCTTTCTTAA